TCCCTAGTTTATTAACATGAACTGGACCAACAGACAAAAATCCCACTACACTTAACAGAATTTAGTTATTTACTATCTATTAACCACAGATTGGAAGTTTAGTTTAAAAATCAAGGAATGAAAACTTAGGAAAAGACCACAAGCTGAAGACCAGATGATAAGCTTAAACTCTGCAGGAAAAAGTGCAAAAGTTTGATTCTATATGTCCTCAATCAGAACAATGTAGAGGCATGTACATAATCTCTACAAGAATTGTTGACAGACATCTCCAATTTGGACATGCTGGACAGTGATACAGTCTTTGTTAACTGTGGAATGTGTGTATACATATGCTAAACAAGCAAAGCTACAGCCAAAGACAGAAAATTTTTCATAAGATACACAGTGAATAGTACTTCTGACAAAAAAACCCCACAGTTCTATGACTTCTGTCATATACACGGTACTAATGTGAGGTCACAGAATTTCATACAAATACATAATAACATAAATAGTTTGAAGGATTAAATAATTTAAATATCTTTTAACCTGTTTGTATCTAATATGCAACACATACTTATTTGTGCATTAAAGGAATGCATAAATAGTTAAGAGCAAGCAAGCCACTCTTTAGATATGCATTTTCACAATAAAGGGAACAATGTTTATTTTTTTGTGGATGGAAGTCCTACTGACTTGAGCCACCATTTTCCAGTAGTGACACAGCAGTGTGTGGCTTTGCTTTTCCTTTCAAGGTGATAGACTATAAATAAAAACTGTAAGCTAAAGTAACTATCTGGTGCAAGATAAATGAGTCTTTTCTACTTCCAGTCTAGCATTATCATTTTACGGCCAAGAAAAATGATCACTGGTTATCTCTATCTAAATTCTGGTACCTTTTCATTGAAGTGAATTTCCACAAATTTTCCAAAACGACTGCTGTTGTTGTTGCGAACAGTCTTTGCATTTCCAAAGGCTTCTAGCAGGGGATTTGCTGTTTAAAAAGACCCAAGAAATTAAAGTCTTAAACTTTGATCAATAAGATAACAAAAAAGATCTAACAAATACGTGCTAATTATTCAGTGAACTTATGTGGCATAAAGTTTGAAAATTAAAGGAAAAATAATATCTACTAGGAATAACAAGGTTTTTTAATTTGACTAGATATACTGTGGTGGATCCTACAATGAAGTACTGAAATATCACACAGCATTGCTAAGTCTTTGAATCAATACTGTAAGAAATTCAGAGACAAACACTGAAAATTATGCAATGGTCATCTTCTAAAGCAAGTAGATAAATCACAGATACATAAACTATACAAGACAACACATAATTTGACACTTCCCAGTGGGTTTTTAATCATAACATTTAAACTGCCCACTTATCTCACAGAAAAATGCCACTTAAATGTCATACATGCAACATGGTAGATTGATTAGGAAATTAAAAAACCTATTAGAATACTGCTTTGATTTCATTAACAACTTTAAAATGCCCTTTCCAGTTAGGTCTATTAAGTGGTTGAGGGATTTACTTTTTACTAGTTGCAGTTTTCAAGCACCTTAAAGCCCATACAGAAAGAGCTGCAGCAAACTGAAGCAGATCTCTATCTCTCTCCACATCATGCACCGTTTAAGCAGTTTGAAAATGCTTAGTAGTCATGAAACACTAAGGCTCTGAAAGACTGCATTTACTAGCTTTGGAGATCAAAGAAAATTGATTTACTGAACTGTAATAACAATAAAGCATTGAAAATATATTTTTTAAAGTTTTTTTTAAGGCTTTTATCTAAAAAATATGCAATGGAAATAAAGTGAGCAGAAACTCAGATGTAAACTCCACTGAGAGCTATCTACAGATCTGCTCCTATGAAAATTAAAGAATGAAGGAATAACCATAATTGGAGAAATGGTGAATGATAAAGCATGATTTACTAGGATAACATCAGCATTAACTTTTTTCTTTGACTAGGATTTCACTTTTTTATTATGTAAAGCTTCTGGAAATGAAAATCTGACTTTCAAAACCGATTTCTTAAGAGATCTTTGGTAACTATTCAGGTATTTTACATAATATGAACAGTTTTTAAGAAGAGATTGTGAATTTAAACAAATTGCAAGATGTCTTTCAGATAGGTTAAAGGTTCCTCTAGTAATGCTGTAAGTGTGCTCATTAAAATTGTGCCCAAAATACTTCCAGAAGTCATGCATCAGATGTTGGGTTAGATTTAAAAAAGCAAGCCTTTCTAAAAGTACCTACAAGTACCAATTAATTTTATGGCATACTGCACTAGGCATTATCCAGCTCCTGGCCACTCTCCGAGTTCCTTTAGCACACAGTGGATTTCACTAAGGAATTGGTTTAAACAAACCTTCAGCAACAAGAGATTAAAGCCCACAGTAGTTCTTTTGAATAATCCAGTGGCTTGAATTTGAAAACAGAAAATTTAAAAAAGTAAAAAACTTTGGTTTAAGTACAAGACAGTAATGAAATGCCAATATAAATATCCTTAAATATGCTATAGAAGACTAAAACTGACATATAAGGCACTATTAGATTGGCTGAGGGTTGGTTTTGAGACACTTATATTTCTCAAAAAGTTATTTTTTATTCAATTAGGAAGTGTATGATCAGCGGAGTCTCTTCTGACCTTGTTTGGGAGTCTGTTATAAATATAAACACAATTACAGCGTTAATCCAAATTATGTGCTTTATAACTGGAAAGACGTAATAGAAAAATTACCCAGAACCATAATTTAAAAGAACTTCCCTACTTTATCTGACTTTGATAACTTTTCTGATCAGGAGGAGGAATTACTTTTTCCTAATATAACGAGAACCATTCTTATCCTTGCAGATTTTGTACAGCATAAAATCCAATCCTGGGTACACGTGTGACATTGAACTCAATGACACAAACATTTTCAAAATCAAGGACTATTTGACTCTATACGAAATAAAATCACCAAAAAATGTTTTCAGAATCTATCATCAAGGTAAACCACCAGTAAATTATGCCCTGGGAAGTGTGATAGTATTTCCATCCTAGCTTTTATGTAGTTACTGTTGGTAGACATTTTGAATTTGAAAAAATAAAATAAAATAAAAAATTAAGACATTGGAACCCTTAATTCAATTAAAGAGAATTCAATACCTTCTACAATTCTATCGTCAATATCTTGGCCAGTACCATAGGATTCTGTCAAATACCTGTAAAGCAAGATAAAGTTACTGGTATCTTTCACATGTCAGGTTACATCAATTCAACAGGATTTAGCATGGCCAAGACCAGGTTCGATGGGGCTTTGAGCAACCTGGTCTAGTGGGAGGTGTCCCTGCCCATAGCAGGGGGGTTGGAATTAGATGATTTTTAAGGTCCCTTCCAACCCAAACCATTCTTTCATTTTATGTTTGGGAACCATACTTACTATCCATCTACTAAAGTGAAAGCATATTGGTTCCAAGTTCCAATAGCTTATCTTTTAAAATAAATACAGTTTTGACTTATTTTTTAAAACAAAACTGGAAGACTTCAGATTTTTTTTCAATACTTCAGAACACATTAGAAATTTCTTCTAGATATGCATGTGGAAATTACACTTTTATACAAAAATAATTAATTTATTATTGTACCATCTGTATTTATTAATAATCTTAGTAAAAGCATGTTTCATATTTTTCCCAAACGAAACACTGTTTCCTTGCTTACAGCTTCTGTGTTCATAACTATCAGTGTTAATAAAATCCCACACGGAGATGGTGAGATAGGAAATTGCAGATGCCTAATCAAGGTGGGATTCAATTTAGCAACTGAAGAAAGAATTTGAAAATAAATTAACAATGTACTTGCTCCAAAGTTGCAGCTTGCTTATTCTCCACCCCCGCAAGGCAGAGAGCATGCTTTCTGGAAATTCATCATTAAATCTGGGACGAGTCAGAAACAATAATCTTAGTAAAAGCATGTTTCATATTTTTCCCAAACGAAACACTGTTTCCTTGCTTACAGCTTCTGTGTTCATAACTATCAGTGTTAATAAAATCCCACACGGAGATGGTGAGATAGGAAATTGCAGATGCCTAATCAAGGTGGGATTCAATTTAGCAACTGAAGAAAGAATTTGAAAATAAATTAACAATGTACTTGCTCCAAAGTTGCAGCTTGCTTATTCTCCACCCCCGCAAGGCAGAGAGCATGCTTTCTGGAAATTCATCATTAAATCTGGGACGAGTCAGAAACAGTTCTCAAAAATGAGGCCTTTCAAAAAAAAAATTTAGGAGCACCGACAGCAATATATTAGTACATTTTGCTTTCTGATCACACAAGGGGAAAAGTGTTCTGCTTTTAAAACTCAATTATGTTTTTACATTTACTCTGTGGGGGTGGGTGGTGGGGAGAAGCAGCAGTAGCAATATTTGCCTGCTGTGTAATCGGAAATTCCTTTGCCAAGAAGGAGAGGAAAAACCTCCTCTGACAGCATTCTTCAGGAGATGTTCTCCCAACGCCTGCAATCTTTTTTTCACTCTTAGGACCTAAGTTAGGATGTTCCCTGTAAAAATCATTACCAGCACTTTGTAGTAACTCTTACAGCCATGTGTTTGGGGTTGCACAGGAACAGAGCAGAGCAGTATGAAGGACAGCCAACCAGCCATGGCAATTCTTCATGGGATGTGGAAGATTTTAACAATATTGTACATACATACTAGAGAATACATGATGTTGGAAAATGGAATTAAAAATGTATACTGGCAAAGAATGTGGTGGGGATTGGAGAGTATTCACACTGCCTGCACTGTGCTTCCCTGGATAATCAGGCCTCCATAATATGGCCTCCATGTAGTTTGATATGGTTGATTTAGTATTGGTCATGCATAAACATCAATAAATAAATAAATTCTATTATTCAGTAAATTAGGGAAAGCTATCTTACAGATTCTCTGTAGTGATCTCAAAATCAAGAGTTAAAAACCACGAATGCTTACAGAAACTTAGAAAACAAGGACAGGGAAAACACAGAACTGCATATTTATGGCAAAACCAATAATGTCTTGCAAAACCATTGAAAATTCCTGGTTACATTTTTATGTACCACAATACCAGATGTGCAATACCAAAAAAACTGCATCATAAACCATAACTACTACATGTTGTCACTACAACCGAGTTCAGGTTTCTGTGAATATATAGATATTTCTGTAGGCTATCACGTCAGCATTTAAGTTTAACCCTAGGAATTTCTGTTACAAATGTGTACATAGAAATACCTTACTGAATTGTATCTTAAACCTACTGGTCACTTTTCAGTTTGTTCTGTCTGTACATCAACCAAATGCATCAACAGAAGAGATTCATGGAATAGCTTTGGTCCAAAAGCACAAACCTCAAAACAAATTTAGTGTTTTCTGTCTTGCCAGCTCCCGATTCTCCAGACACTATGATGGACTGACTCATCTTGAGCACTTTCATGTCACGGAATGCTTTATCAGCTTAGAAAGAAGAATATGTTAAATGTGACAAAAATTAATATTCACAAGAGTTGAAGGCATAATGTTAAGGTACTATATGTAAATTAAAATGCAACATTTTCAGGAATAAAAAGGTAAATCTTTAAAATTGAATGCATTAAAGCCTGTTTTGCTTTAAATTATATTAATAGTTGCTCACTCTCAAGCACTGGCATGTAAAAG